CCCGGGCTGGGGATTCGAACCCGCCACCTTAGGTGTATGTGGCTGGCGCCTTAGCTGCTTGAGCCACAGGCGCAGAGCCAGTATGTGTCTATTTTAAAGAAAATAGAAACAAATGTTTCACATTATGGGAAAAGAAAAGAGCATCTTAAGGCAAAAGCACCGAATGTGGTAAGAGCTTTAGGAGTTGGAAGTAGAATTGGTATGTGGTTAACAACGCTGATTTTGCTCTTCTCTGGCAGCATGGGCTGTTAGGAAGTGAGTGAAATTCATAAATATGTCAGTACAGTCCCCCTAAGACTGTTCAAAAGTCTCAGACTCCTGGCCTCAAGCAGTCCTCTGGTCGCCTCAATCTTCCAAAGTGGAAGACCAGGCCTTGGTTATAGGCCTGGCCAATTAATTTGAATATATAGAATTGGGGGAGGGGATAAAAGATGTTTCTTGAATGGTGCCACTAAGCCTATTCCTAAACTTATCACTGACTCAAGTTTCATGAAGAATTTTGTTTGAAGAAGCCCATGAATGGAAGTTAAATTACCAATTAATTTATAGAAAACATTTTATTTCCTAGGCTAGTCTGTGGCTTGTTCAGAAATAGGATGACATCCAAGTTTGTATCTGGATATTATATTTCTGTTGCAGTGGAAAGGGACATTTTCTTTCTTTCATTTTTTTTTTAACTTTTATTTATTTATTTATTTATTTATTTTTATTTTTTCACAGTTTTTGGCCAGGGCCGGGTTTGAACCCACCACCTCCGGTATATGGGGGTGGCGCCCTACTCCTTTGAGCCACAGGCGCTGCCCCATTTTTTTGTTTTTTTTTTGAGTGGGGTCTCCCTATGTTGCCCAGGCTGGTCTCAAACTCTCAGGCTGAAGTGATCCTCCTGCCTCAGCCTCTCCAGTCTCTGGGGGTGCAGGGGCATGCCATTGCGCCTGGCTGGGAAAGGGGATCTAACCACTTTTCTCCTACTTTCTTTCTGGTGCTTTCATTGAACATTTAGTCTATGATGATAGCTTAACTTGGGTCTCATACTAGAAAAGCTTTGACTCTAAAAACTTTGAGCTGTTGCAGGAGTTTGAGTTATGAGCAATGGAAATTAGGAAGGGCCCCATTTGATATGCAAAGTAAACACCGGCTTTGGCTTTTTAATTTCAAAATTAACAAACATGATACCATTTTCAAGTAACATGTACTAACTGAGATTTCTTTCAACCAGGCAGTGATAACCTTTTAATAATCTTGAAAAGAAAGTGGTGGAAGTACATTTTGCTGGCCTTGGCAGATGTGGAAGCTAATTACCTGATGGTCAGAGCCTACCAGTACACAACGTTAACCAGTGTGCAGGTAAGAGGGGCA